TGTCATAACTACTAGTTAAAAAACAATTTTTAGTAGCAATAAGATGGCGACTCTATTGTTCTGACACGCTCTGTATATTTTCATAGAAAAAATGCCATGAATTTCAGTGATAAAACCAAGGAATTTTAGATGCAATTCAAGGAAGATTTAGAAAGAGCTCTAAGAGGGTTAAGACTTCAATTCCACGTGAATTGTGTGAGTTCAGAGTAGAATTTTTAAGCAGCTCTGTAAAAAATTCCAAAAAACATTGTGAAGAGGATTCCAGGATCCGTGAAGAATACCAAAAAATTCCAGTGGAATTCTTAGAATAATGTTATGAGAGGATAAAGAAATTACGAATGAACACTCTAGAGCATGTTAAGGAAATTTCTTTTCAAATATTCAGAAGATTTTAGGGCAAGATAATCCTGCACAAAATCTCAAGACAGCTCTGAGGTGAATTTCTTGGGAATAGGAATTCTTAAGAAAATTCAAATGAATTTTAAATAGAATTATGCAAAAAGCTTCAGTGAATTCAAAGAAAACTGATTTAAAACTCGATAGAAATCTAAGGACAAATTTCATGACTTTTCGATTAATCTGCAGGTTTATTCTGCAGATTTATCAAAATTTAATAATTTTATCTATGAACTGTTATAATTAAATTTTCAAGACACTTCCAGGGAAAATTTCGAACTTATTCTAGAAGAATCCTAAACTCTGTGAAAGGTTATTATTCTAAAAGAAAAGACTTGAAATAGTCCAATAAAATCCTGTAAAGAGTTTTGAGTAGCTATCAGACAGACATATTTTAAAGAATTCGAACGCAGAACCAAATTCAACCCAAGAAAAATGTTGCTTCCTTAGCAATGACCCATTCAACCTAGTGATACCTTCGGTTTTCGCTTTTATGCTTAATTTTAATTTCAATTGAACAACCGGGAACATTACCAAAATTCGGAAAAAAATATCGGGAATTGTTTTATCGGCATTCACTGGTCATAATCTTGAGTAAAATTTAAAACAATCTAGCAAAAACACAACATTGGCAGTTAAGGTCCAGCTCAGGTATATACTGAATTTTATCAAACACTTCTTCCATATACATTATATGGGTTAAATGAAATGGTCAGGATCTAAGAAAAAGTTTTTTGAGTGGCGCCGGTGATGAAGTGGTAAACATGATTGTCTCTCACTCCAGCAGGCCTGGGTTCAATCCCAGTCGGCGCTGCCGTGATGTTCTGAGGCATAAAAAATCTGATCAAGGGAAGTAAAGCCGTTGGTCTGTGGTCTATGAGTTGATAGGTCAATAGGTAGGGTCCAGATGTGCGAGATTCCATCCTGGTGTCGGTAGCATTGGTACTCAGCACGGAAAACAAGATCGACGGAAAACAAACCAGGAAAAAAAAAGAAAAATTTATTTTTGCAACTTCGTACCACTGTACATTGTAAAAGTTATACACCAGTTACGATCATTTGCAAGTATCAAAAACATGTGCTACTTAAGTTTTCATCGATTTCTGGCTTACAAACACTTCTGTTAATAGTCAATGTAGAACATGTCATTAGGTAGACACAATTTCTATCCTTTTTGAATCATCATATTGAATCACAGTTCAATGATCTTAAAGAATTCTATAATTCACTAGTAGAAAAAAGTTACAATTAGTGTTTCCTAGTCCAAAATCACTTTTCCCATTTTCGGGGAACATTTTTGACTTCTTTGAGAACAGCTATGTTTACAGTAGCAATGTGAATAATAGATTTTCACTAAAAATAGACCACACCACTTGGGAAATATACTGACTTGATTTACTTGAGGAAATCTGATGAAGTAGAAACTTCCGGATGAAACTCCGGGGAAAGATGTAGGAAAGTTTCTGGAAAAATCGTAAGATATTTCCAGGAGAAGATAGAAGGGCTACTGTGGAAGTTGGAAGAAACTTCCTGAAAAGGTTTTAAAATACTTGTAGTGAAATATGGAAAAAAATTTCGGTACAAGTTAGAAGAAACGAGAATAATATTTCCGAAGAAGCTTTAAGATACTTCTTAGTTGAGTAATTAGAATTTTTTTCAGAAGATGCCAAAAGAATCTTGCGCGCGAAATCATCCAAGAGAAAACAATATATTAATTTTTTGTGAAAACAATTGAATGCTTCATCGATCGATCGACCAATTAATAACAAATAATAACTTTCGCAAATTATACTACATAAATACCTATTTGGATACTGCATCCAAATATTTCATAATTTCAGAATATTTTCGATAATTGGGATCAGCAGTTTCCCAATCGCAGGTAGTCTAAAATTTAAACAATATTTACAATCAATTACTGTTTAAAAAATAATTCGTTCATTTTGTCGCAACATCTTTCTTCCGAGTGTATTTAAGATGCTGAAATATGGCCAAAAACCAAATGGAAACTGATTGGAGGTCAAATCCATAACACATTGTTAAAACTGTTTTGTTTGAATCGATTTTAATAAGTAACTAATAATTAAGTAAATGACTGTTTCGAAAATCCCAACCTTAGCATATTTGCATAATGTAGCATACAAATACCTAACCATTAATGTGGGCAACTGTTAATCCTACACACTACAAAAAAGACATGTAAATTTCAGTGTCCTGAGACCGACACATGCAAGCCGCCTTTTTGACATAAGAATCAGTTGAAAAGGACGAGAAGCGCACTTTTTGTCGAGTTGCATATGTTTCAGTTTCAGGACACTTAATTGTACATACCATGTTTGTTTACGTTCCATGATTTACGACAAAGCTGAATTACGACTCGTGTAAAAATAATAATTTCTAAATGTGTAGTCTTTGAAGGACCTTTAAATTTCAAACTACTTTCTAAAAAATCGAAATTTTTTCCTCATATCAACCTCAACTTAAACTATCCCACCAACATTCACACACGTACACATGATTCACGACCTCGAGTCTGTCAATCAACGTGTAGTCTTCCATATCCAAAACCTCTTTCAAAAATTGAAATCTAATTTTAGCTCCCATATTCGACCATTCGACAGACCGACACTTACTATTAATCCGGAGGGGCCTCATCTGGTTTCATCCTTTGGGATCAGTGATACTGGGCCAATATTTGCACGTAGCTAGGCTGACAGAGACAAGATCCCATCCTTCAAGCTCAATTCTGTCCTCAAACAAGACGATGGCTCCCTGTTTATCTGAAAACGAGTTGTAAGACACTGTGTGTGTATGCGATACATACATATGTAAATATTGTAATCCCCCACACACCGGACTAATTCGAAATCGGAATCGATGTTGTCTATGTACCTACTCCGAGCCACTGCGGTGGAACATGATTCTGGTGGTTGTGTATCTATTTCATATTCCATTATTCATTGGGAGATGTATATGTTTCTTGCGGGGGTGCAAAATTCGGTCAATTCTACTTTATGGCATTTTCCTGTCTCGGATTTGAAAGCTTCGGAGTCGGTCTGCTAGTTCGAAATTGGGGAGGGAGGATGAAAGTGGTCTTGTCAGACAGCAAATTGAGTTGATTAATTCATGAAATCTAGATATGATTAAGCTGGAACGCGTTCAATATAGGTCGTCTCAAACTGCATCAAGAGTGGCAGCTAGCTGCGGTCGGTGGTCGATGTGACTTGTCGTGAGGTTCCGAAGACGAATGAAAATAGATAAAGTTCAGCTTGTAATTTGGCATCTCTTGAATAATTCATTGATGAAGGTCTGTCGTTGGCTTGTGTGCATTAGTGGCGATGCAGTTGAAAATTAATTTGAACCGCTTTGCTAAAAACAGAATCAATCATCCTTGTGGAGCAGAGCAAAATTCAACAGCTTGCGGAAAAGCTCATTTTGAATGGATATTCAATCGAACGGGCAAGTGAACCCATTTCAGCTGTGTTTTCCAATAAAATTTATCCCTTTGGTCAATACCATCCCTCGAACAACTGGTGGAGCAGAAATCTCATCTGCTCTTAAATTCAATCAAGAATACTTTATCCAAACCTTCTCCACTTGCTTCAAGCGAGAAGGGGTTCCGTTTCTATACGGCAAACCCGTCCCAAGTTCATCGCATCCATTAGTCATTTCTTGTTTGATCAACCGAATCGATCCTTCTCCCTCTTCATTCACATTTTAGTACACGTGTGTTGGCGTTGTTAGGGTGATCCAATGTTTGTTTTTCGGAGATTCATCGTACTTTTTCCCTCGATGATATATTATGATCTCATGATCAACTTCGCCGATGAGCGAAATGTTTCTACTACGGGCAGATCTGGAAGATTCACAAATGCCCATTTATAAATGAAAAATCTGTTGGCATAAGACTCAAGGAGTCACCCTAGAATGCATCTATTCGATCTGCGAAAGTGCTAGAAAGCCTCTTATTTTTAGTGAGCCAGGGATCAATTTCGACTAAGCGAATGAACGAACGGGAAAGGGGAGAAAGATGAGTATTTTAAAAGCCTACATGCTTGCCCGTCCACCCACCTTACCCTTGTTGGAATATGATGAATGTTGGCCATTGGTAGTGCCGTGTCGACTGGCCAGAAGAAAAGCCTTTTGGATTTTATTTCATTTTTATTGATACCTATATTCGTTTCATTTTTTTTTCTGGGTATGAGCTCACAACAATAACAGACCGAAAGGTCGAAAGGGATCTCGGGGGAGTCTGGAGAGTTTTTCGCTTCGATACGAACCGGAGGAAGCTGAGGCCGTTGGGGGTAGTTTAGGTGTTATGTTAGTTTCAATTTCTTCGGAAATCCATGAAATCCGAATAAAGAACTGCTTCTGTGCTATGTCCCCTCTCCGTGTTTTGATACCCAGATGAACAGTGATAATGCTTTTATGGGATTGCTTTATGTGTATGACTGAAATTGATTTTTATTCTTCGGATCTTTAATTTTATGACTCTTGATTGAATTGACTTCGCTTACTTGGATCAAAAAACAACGAACATCTGATACATCCATTTAAGTGCTCTTTCTGATCGATTTCGTGATATTTTTTCTTCTTTGGGACAGGTATATATTGTAGGACATATACCACCTGGTTCGGACGAGCGGCACATTGGCCACATGCCGTACGGACACACGAGTTTCACCGAGAAAAACAACCTGCGCTACCTGCGGCTGGTGAAGAAGTACTCCAGTATCATTCAGGGACAGTTTTTCGGTCATCTGCACTCCGATTCATTCCGGGTGGTCTACAGTGATAGCGGTAAGTTAGTTGGAAACCTGCCTGGAAATAGATACTTGAGCATCATTATCCTCTCTGCCAGGAAAACCAATCTCGTGGATGATGATCGCGCCCTCGATCACACCTCGGAAGATGTCCGAATCAAACAACCCTGCGATGAGGTTATACAAATTTGACACCGACACGGGTCAGGTAAGATTGCGCTCAGACCAGTAAAATGTTTAGTTTACGTTTATGAAATTGAATTATTCATTCGTTCAAAAGGTTCTGGACTACACTCAGTACTATCTGGACCTGGAGCAGGCAAACAAGCTGGGCGAAGCGGCGTGGCAGCCGGAGTACAACCTGACGACGTACTACTACGGTCTGGGGGAGGTTTCATCTGTGGCGCTGCATAATCTGGCAGATCGGTTCACCAACGCGGACGATACACAGTTTATGAAGTGAGTACATATTTCGATGTCCGATATCCTACATTAATAGACGATCCCTTCACTATCAAGTATGAGATGTGCATTCGAATCTGCATCACCTTTGTTCATTCGCAAAACAAAAACCTTCTTCAAATAACTAAAATATAACTTACTTATCGTGGGGACCACCCTATTTTCATCTGCAATTGTGCAATTACCGAAACAAAAAAAGGAAGACAAAAATCGATAGTTTCAGTAGAATGGTGGCTTTGGGATCGTTTAAATATTACATTTACATTTATCTCATATTATACTATCAATCAACTCTATAATGCAAAGCAGGCTTGGATTAATCCAACGATTTTCTGCTCTGCAAGAAAAAATTCTTGCCACTAGAGTACCGTTCCCCTTTACATCTCAACAAACCACAGTGACCCGAAAACAATAATTTCTCGCCGTTTTTGTCAGTGTTCATTTTCTAAGTTTTAATCAACAAAGATAACAAAACTGCTACTAAATAGCAAGATATAAATAATATCAGACTCAATTCTTTTCAACCCCCATGAAACCCCACATAATCGAGTGGACAATCACATAACTTCTGTAGGAACTTTATCATTCCAACACCCACATCACTTCTCAAAATGGTGAACAGATTGTCAACTTTTACAAATCTCAGTACTAAAACATCAATCAAAAGAACGTCAAAGACAAAGCTGCAGGAAAACCGGTAGCTACTCCACTACAAATACATACTGTAAACTCCTCCCGGTATATCCGGAGAAAAAAAAACTTTCAATCAAAGTGCTTGTTACTTCATACCGTGCCGATTCAAATTTCGGACACTTAAACTCGAATTTCGGACACTTTTAAAAGTTGATTATCTCGGTCGAATATGATCCACATGTCTTGTAAATTTTAAATTTTTTTGACTAGTGCCCTCCACGATCATCTAACATTATTCCTTTGTTTCTAACTGGATGTAATATTTAATTAAAAATGAAAGTGTCCGAAATTTGAATCGTCCGAAATTTGAATCGTCCGAAATTTGAATCGTCCGAAATTTGAATCGGAACGGTACGTGAAGTTTTCAATTTTGCCTGTGGATTTGAGGAAATAATTCAAGGCCTCTCACTCATCAAGTGAGTTAGGCAAAGGAGTGCGTATTTGATTTTGCCTGTGGATTTGAGGAAATAATTCAAGGCCTCTCTTTCAACAAGTGAGTTAGGCAAAGGAGTGCGTATTTGATTTGTATTGTCGGCCCATCAATGACCCTTCGCTCAATTTTAACTTCTGTTCAATTTTCACACTGCCGTACTTTAACGAAACTATCAATCTATCCTCAGAACTTTCTTACTTACTTACTTAAGGGTCCTGTGCACCACCAGTGGTGCAAAAGGCCAACGTGAAAGACTTCCATCCTGAGCGGCTTCTCGCTTTTGCCTTGACCTGGGCCCATCGATGACATCGATGATGGAGCTCGGCATTCGAGATCCAGTTGTGAGGCCACCAGGCACGAATTATATACCGCAGGCATCGGTTGATGAAGACCTGCAGCTTTTGAGTGTTCTCCGCTGATACACACCACGTCTCGCTGGCGTATAACAACACAGATTTCACGTTCGAGTTGAAAATTCGGATTTTGGTGCATTGACTTATCGGGTTGGATCTCCATACGTTTCGTAAACTCGCAAAGGCAGCCCTAGCCTTCTTGATTCGTGCACCTATGTTGCTCTTGGTCCCACCGTCAGTCGCTATTTGGCTGCCAAGATATTGGAAACTTTCGACCTTCTCCACTGCTTGCCCCGCTACCGTAAAGTTGGAAGGGTTGCCCGTGTTGATATCCAACGATTTGGTCTTGATGACGTTGATGGTGAGGCCCGCCGCAGAGGAGCGTTCGGCTAGGTCATTGAGCTTACTCTGCATATCAGAGCACCGTTGTGCTAGTAGAGCAACTTCTTCTTCTTATTTTCTTCTTCTTCGCATTTAAAGCTTATTGCATATCGCATATTAGCTTATTGCGTGCTCTCAACTTAGTGTTCTAGATGCACTTCCACAGTTATTAATTGAGAGCTTTTGATGCCTGTACCATTTTTGCATTGGTATAATTGTGTGGCAAGTCCAATCATACTTCTATGCCCAGGGAAGTCGAGAAATTTTCCAACCCGAAAAATTCCTAGACCGGACCGGGAATTGAACCCAGCCACCTCCAGCATGGTCTTGCTTTGTAGCTGCGCCTTTACCGACTGAGCTAAGGGAGGCCCCATATAGTAGAGCAACATCATCAGCCAAATCGAAGGCGTTGAGATGCTCCATGGTGATAGGCTGCCAAAGCAGCCCACGGTTCGGTACACGGTCAATTGCACGTCGATTACGATGAGAAACAGTAGAGGTGATAGTATACATCCTTGTCTCACACCATCGACTACCCGGATAGGGTCGGACAAGGATCCGTTATGCAGAACTCTGCACGTGAAAGCCTCATACTGCGATTCGATGAGGTTGACGATCTTATCAGGCACTCCCTTGCGTCTCAGGGCGCCCCACAGATTCTTGTGATTGAGACGGTCGAAAGCTTTTCCGTAGTCAATGAATACCAAATAAAGGGACTCTTGGAATTCATTGACCTGCTCCAGGATGATGCGGAGCGTGACAATATGGTCCACACAAGATCTTTCGGCACGGAATCCTGCCTGCTGCCGTCGGAGAGTCGCGTCGATCTTCTCCTGTATCCGATTCAGGATAACTTTGCACAGAACTTTGAGAACAATACACAGTAACATGATGCCTCGCCAATTGTCGCACACAGTCAGATCCCCCTTCTTTGGGATCTTCACTAAGATTCCCTGCATCCAGTCGGCCGGAAAAGTCGTGGTGTCTCAGATATTACAGAATAGTCGATGCAACATTTGTGCGGATAGCATGGGGTCAGCTTTGAGCATCTCTGCTGATATGCGATCGACCCCTGGAGCCTTGTTGGATTTCATGCTTCGGATAGATGCTTCAATCCCCTGCAGTAATGGGGTCTCGGAATTGACGCGAATGATGCGCCGCACCCTAGGTGGATCATGCCGAGATGTTGATGGCTGGTTGGCCGTCGAAACTTGAAGAAGTTGTTCGAAGTGCTCAAACCAGCGTTTCAGCTGGTCAGTTGGGTCGGTAAGCAATTGTCCAGTCGTGTCCTTCACTGGCATCCTCGGATTCATCCTTGCTCCACTCAGGCGTCGTGAGATATCGTAGAGGAGGCATATATCGCCAGTGTTTGCGGCTTTCTCCCCTTCGTCGGCCAGGGAGTTCACCCACGCTCGCTTGTCCCGTCTGCAAGAGCGCTTGACTTCCTTCTCTAGAGCCGAGTACCGTTGACGGGCTTCGTTCTTGGCTCCTCTGGTTCTCGCCCGCTCTATCGCGGCTTTTGCTTCTCTACGCTGCTCAATCTTCCGCCAGGTTTCATCTGTGATCCACTCCTTCCTCTGGGTGCGCAGCTCACCCAAGTTGTTCTCTCTTGTTTCTATAAAGGCATTCTCTAAGGCCGTCCATTGTTCTTCTACGCTGCCACCTTCTGGAAAGTCCGCAGCTCGAGTCTCAAGATCTTCAACAACGGCGTGTGTCTCTCCTCTCATCGCTGGATCCACGCCATGCGTATGCGGATTTCACCGATTAGAAGGTGATGGTCAGACGCGATGTCGGCGCTGCGTTTATTCCGGACATCAAGAAGGCTCCGTCTCCATTTTCGGCTCATGCAGATGTGGTCGATCTGATTTTTGGTATGTCCATCACGGGAAACCCACGTGACTTTGTGCACCAATGGGGGGAAAGCGAGCCCCCGATCACCATGTCGTTATTGCCACAAAATTCTGCAAACAGCTCACCGTTCTCGCTCATTTCGCCGAGACCATGGCGTCCCATGACACGCTCATAGTCCGTGTTGTCGGAGCCGATCTTCGCATTGAAGTCGCTAGTGTAGATCTTGATGTCACCCTTTGGAACCTTATCCACGACGGCATTCTGACTGTAAAAATTCTCCTTGACCTGTAGCTCGGCAGCATCGGTTGGCGCCCTGGATTATGGTAAGGTTACGAACCCGTGTTCTAAGTCTGGCAACGATTATCCTTTCATTAACAGGCTCCCACTTGATGAGCGCAGCACTTGGCTGGACGCTAAGTAGGAGACCAACTCCATGCGTTTTCACCTCGAATACCAGAGTATAGTAGTACCTGTCCTGACGGCAGTTTGTGTTCTCCAAAGTATGGCCAACGAACTTCACTCAGTCCCAGGATTTCTAGCTGCCAATTTACCCTGCGGGGCTAACGTCAATACATTCCATGATCCAATTCGTGTTCGTTGTTTTGCGCTAAAAGTTGTTGCCGTTAAATCAGTTCGATGTCTTTCTCTGTTGGTTTCTGTAATAATTGTAAAGGTTTCAGAGACAGTAGGTGGTTGACCTAAAGTCTCCTATCCGCCGTGATAGGGCTGCCATCTTAGGTGTAGCTTTTGGGGAAGAGCATTTCTTATTCAGCCGCTGGATGCCAGTCAGACGCTGTTTGAGCCGCACCTCCATGGTGAACAGACGCTCGGGTTCGCGAAGCATTTCCTCTATCACCGTGCTATGGCTACCGCACCAGTGTTCGCGTCACACCTCCTCACTCTGCTATTGTCGGATTGACAACATTGCCCAGGCTACGCCAACCAGCTGTTTCCATGTTTCAGCTGGCAGTCTTTTGTGATTATATGACTCGCGGAGGCGTGAGGTAGAAACTTGTGAGAACCGGAGCTAGGTATATCGCTCCTTCCAGATTGTCACTTACCATTTTGTAGCCAGAACTTTCTCTAGCTAATAAATTATCGCACTTATGCTCGGTAAAAAAAAAATGGCCCTCTCCAACACTTCCCGTAGAATTCTCATCTGAATGATTTTCAAAAATTCCAACCTTTCCAAAACTATCAAGTCTAAAACAGCAGTACAACAAACGAAGATTCGATTTTGGGCATATTCTTTTGAATATTTTTTTCTCAGAAAACAATTGTGAAGT